TAACTACTAAAAGATCCATCTCCTTTGTGTCCTTCCTAGACCCACTAGCTAGTATACAACCGTTCCACAAAACAAGTCTTGTTGCGGAAGTCCGCGATCGAAGGGCCTTCCCGTACCATGTGCCTGACCTGCCTTTGGACCGAACCCACTGCATTGTTTCTGAACCGCTGTATTGTCCCAATGAATCAGCAAACTCCGATACACATCGAATTTTGAACGAAGCGCTTCGAAGGAAAGAGAACAGCATATTTTGACCATCGAACAATTTCGAAGCTGTTTCAGAGCAATTCGAAAGATGTCAATAATAGATGCGCTTCCTGATATCGTTCCTGAGTCATGTGGGGTGTTAGACGCTTGGTTTTGAGCTCTCCAATGAGATTTGTAGCTGTTCGAGGGCATTTCCTGTCGTTAGAGTCATATAGAACAACCATTTCCGAGCCTAGAAGCAGCAGAGTCTTATCACCGTGTTGATGGGTTTGCGGTTCTGAATGGCTTGAATGAAGACTTCTGATGGAAGAAGGACTTCTTCCTCAGGAAGTTCACCCCCCCTTCAGATGCATCTTGATCAATACGTGATAGGGTGTCTGCGTTGCCTAAGCGAGTTCCTGGAACATGGCAAAGACAGTATTTGAATATAGACAGGTATAATGCCCATCGTGCTTGCCGAGGGTTTAGTTTCTGGGGGTCTTTGAAATAGGTCAGATTCATGTGATCTGTCAATACTTCCACTGGTTCGGTGCATCCTTCAATGTAGTGTTGCCAAGCTTTGAAACATCTGATGATTGCCAGGAGTTCTCAATCATAGATTTCGTATTGTTGTTCTATAGAAGAGAATGACTGGGATAGGAAGGTACATGGATGCCATCTTCCGTCAGATTGTTTCTGAGATAGGATGCCACCGGAGGCTTTCAGAGAAGCATCAGACTCTATTTGGAATGGTTTGGTAACATCAGGTTGTACCAAGAGTGGTCTAGTCTTGAAACATTCCTTGAGTTGTTTGATGGCATTGTTGTGATCATCAGTCCAACTCCACTTGATCTCTTTTACCAATAGGTCAAATAGGGGTCATGCTACTTTAGAGTATCCTGGAATGAATCTTCAGTAGAAATTGGCAAAACCCAGGAAGCATTGCAGTGCTTTGATGCTGTCAATCTTTGGCCAATTTAGTACTGCTGATACCTTATCTTCTGCCATCCCTATTTGTCCTGGGTGGAGAATAAATCCTAGAAATTTGACCTCTGATATATCAAAGACGCACTTCTCGGGTTTGAGGAATAGATCTGATTCTTTCAGACGCTGGAGGATCAGTTGAGTGCATTGTTGATGTTCTGCATGATTTGTAGAATAGATGAGGATATTGTCAATATAGATCACTGGCCATCCTTCTAGTAATAGATCCGCAAAGATGCCATCCATCATAGCTTGGAAAGTTGCCAGGGAGTTTGTCATTCCAAAGAACATGACAGTTGGCTCAAATAACCCTCATGGAGTAATGAAAGCTCTTTTCCATTCATCACCTTCTTTGATCCATACATTGTTGTATCCTGTGCGCAAATCAAGTTTGGTAAACATAGTTGACTTGGCAGAGGCAACACAATCCAATAGATCTCCTACTCTTGGGATTGGGTAGGTGTTCTTGATGGTGGTGTCATTGAGTTTCCGGTAGTCCTGATATAGTCGCAGATCTCCTGATTTCTTATTGACAAAGAAGAATGGGGATGCCATAGGAGACTTTGATAGACGAATATATCCTTTCCACAGGTTTTCTTTGATGAAGGTGTCTAACTCTTTGAGTTTTGCCAGTGATAATGGATAAACCTTTCCCTGTTGGGGTTTGAAGTTGGCTTCCAAATCAATTGCATGATCCCAGGGTTTCCATTCTGGTAATTGTTCTGCTGTGCTTTTGTTGAATACAGAGAGGAAGGCATTTAGGTATTCTGGGATATTACTAGCAAGGGTCTTGATTGCTCGTAGAAGTTGATCCCAACAAAAGCGCATCTTTCCAATGATCCAGTCAATGGCTGGGTTGAAACATTTGAACCATGAAAGCCCTAGAATGATTGGGTTCCTATCCAGTACTGTGGCGTAGGCTTCTATCCTCATTGGTTGTCCAGATAAGGATATAGTGAAGAAGACTTTGTGTTTGATAACCGCAGCTTTGTTTGGTGATCTATCAACATTGAACACTGGTCTAGGTGTGATACTCTGGTGCTGGAGATTGTGATCTCAAGCAAACTGGATGTTGATATAATTCTCTATTGCTCCTGTGTTGAGCAATGCTTCAGTGGTGACAATTTTGGCATAGGTTTTTAATATGCAAGGCAAATAAATAGATTTATGAGCTAATCTCACCTGATATAAATAGTCCTTAGTGCCAGTACTTCGATTCGATGTCACAACAATTGAAGACTTCAAAAATCCTTCTCAGAGGATATGGCTTGAATGTATTTTTTGGCTATCCCTTCCTCATCAGAGGAATCCTTGGTGTCATCCTTCTCCTGAGTGGATATGTTGTGGGATTCGATTGCCCTGATGTGATTGTTTGGGCATTGGTGACTCTGATGCCTGGGTTTGTGACATCTGAAACATAACCTCTTCTCCATGTGTTCCTTGTGATCTTTATCTGACAGACGTCTGATCCGCTGATCGTTAGATGATACTTCTGTTGATGCTCCATTCCTGGTCTCAACTGCCCAATTGCAATGTACAAATTTGTGGCAACCAAAAGAACAGTTGGTAGATGGCATGAATAGAGGTTTATCACCGAAGATATTGATCATGGATTGACAGATAGATTGGACACTGTTGAGGTATCCTACCACAGTGACTGGTAACGGCGGTTGAGCGGCGATCTTGATTAGCAGAGCAGGGGGGATAAGGCACTGTAGTTCTTGAATTTTCCCTAATTCATTTAATTCGCTAGCCTGTAGAAGAGGTTGAAGAGTTGTGACAAATC